CTTACTGATAAGTCAGAGATTCCCCGAAAATAGCCTCAAAGAGCTGGGTGGTCAAAGGGAAGGGGTTTCCAAGTGTCAATGATCTTTGCTAGCATGGCGAATTGAAATATAGCGTCTAAAATGGTCTCTGCTAGATGGCGCTTGCCGTGTCAACCCGAAAAATGGTTTCTGCTAGCCTACGAAACCCATTCCAACTTCCCAAATGGTCTCCGCTAGCCTGCCCCTGCGTTCCCGGGTCATCAATGATCTCTGCTAGCCTGCCCTCACCTCCTCAATGATCTCTGCTAGCCTACCCTCACTTCCTTAATGATCTCTGCTAGCCTGCCCTTGCTTCCTCACTTATCTCTGCTAGCTTGCTAGCTACCGCACCCTACCTCAAAAGTGACTCGCAAGAAGCTGGCTAAGTACGTTAAGCCACACCCTAAGCTCGGTCACACCCGCTAATCAGTGCCAAAAAAGGGGCAGCACCGCCCCGCCTTCAAATGTTACTCAATCCGCGACTTATCTAACAATAATGGGCGTGACTTGGTAAGGCGACGTAGATTTCAGCGATAAGCCAAGTATAAAAGATAGAAGGGTTAAAGTGGTGAATTCTCTTTCTGGTCCCGAATGATGCTCCAAAAGGCCCGGATTGATTTGAAGGATATTGTAGCTTCTCTCTCAAACTCTCTCTCTCTCTCTCTCTCTCTCTCTCTCTCTCTCTCTTCTCTCTCTTTCTCCTCTCTCGGTGCTTGTTTTCTTTCTATGTTGTATATTCTACATTTCAGAATGAACTCCTCCCTCCTCGTGCTCCTCATCGCGTTCTTCGGAACTACCGTGTTATCCGCATCCTACCACCATCACTCATCGTCTGAGGATGATGGGTTCATCGTTGAACTTCATCGAAAAACTAATCCTACGCGCGGACGTCGGAATTTACACAGTAAGGGAGACGAGAGAGAGCGTGAGAGCGAGAGAGTGACCGAGAGATAGAGAGAGAGAGAGAGCTAGAGAGTGAGAGATAGAGAGTGAGGGAGAGAGAGGGAGAGAGAGAGAGAAACTATCCATTTCTTTCTAGAAGATGCCCCCTGTCATAACCACGGAAAGGTCCGCATCAACCACGCCGGGATCAAGTGCGAATGCGAGCCGCCATATGTGGGCGATCACTGTCAACAAGGTTTGTTGATTCTGAGGGTTGGCAGGCTAGCAGAGATCATTTGGGAAAAAATTAAAATGGAGAGGGCATGCTAGCAGAGTTTATTTAGGAATATATTCCGGGGCAGGCTAGCAGAGACCGTTTGCGGAATTTCATTGCTAATACATATTTCTGTATTTTGCAGTAGTCACCTACCGATGCGAAATTACGAATGAATGCCGACCTGGATTCATCTGCGCCCTTGTCGATCTACCGGAGCCGCGACGGTACTGTATTCCGTCCAACTAACTAGACGGCTTCGAAAATTCTATCAACCCTATGCTAATTTCATTGTTTTTAGTTTTGTTATTATTTTTGTATCTATAGCATGTTTTTGACCCTCGGTTCTTTCGAATTCACAAATATTCTTCCGGGTTTTTCATTTTTTCCAATTTTTGGTAATTTTAAATTGTCTTTTTCCCTATTGTGATCTACCACCGAATCTCCAAATCACCGTCTGGTCACAAAGAAGCGGCTCCTCTTCCCCGTCTCCCCCAGTGAATCTCGGATTACCACCCTTGTTTTGGAAACTAGATCTGACGTTCCTCACCCTGGTCGCCATTTTTATTGCATTTTTGTACATCGCTTTTATCCCGTTATTTATTTATATCTATAAATTTTCAGCAGCTTATAAAACACGCAAAAAAGGTCATGCTCCACAGGTTCACTCCCAAATAACGTCCCCACCCACCACTGGTCCTTCATTATATGCGTCCCTCTTCCGGCGGTTGACTCGTCTAGAGGCCCTCATCTTCCTCTCTCATCTCCTCCTCTTCCCCAAATGGGATTTTGCTCGTTTTCCGGGGAGGCCGACAAATTGCCCCCGGGGTCCCGACCCGAATACGCCCAAATTTCCACTGAGCGACGCTCGACGCCTGCATTTTGGTATCAATTTTCCCAGCGGAATAGGGGGTCAGGGTCATGACTAAACCTAAGCCTAAGCCTGAATTTGAGCCGGAACCCAGACATTCAAAACACACACTGCTAAAACACAGACACCGATTATGCAGAAATCCTTTTCAATTGACTGGCTGTGTTTTGGCTGTTTGTGTTTTGACATTCTGTGTTTTTAATGGCTGCGTTTCGGACTTCCCCCTAAGCATAAGCCTAACAATTGCGGTTTTTAAGTGTTCTCGGAATCTTGCGATGCGACATAGCCGGTTCCATGGAGCTTGAAATTCCGGACAACCCCATCCCTCAAAAATTGCTGAACGGGTTCGGTTTTTTGACAAATTGATTCGCGGAGACCGTTATCGTTCAGCTGTTTTTGAAAGCTGGGTGTTCTTCAGTATTTTAAGGTCTATCGAATGACCTATCTCGCTTCGCAAAATTCCAAGCTCACCTAAAAACAACTCCCTGTATACCTAAGCCTAAGCCTAAGTCTAACAAGGAGTCGCTTTTAGGTGCTTTTGGAATTTCGGGACGGGACCTAGCTAGTTCGATAGAGAAAAAAAATTCTGAGCAACATCCCGTTTTCAAAAAGTGCTGATCGATAAAGCTGTTTTAGAAAATTTAATTTAATTAAAAATGTTCCCGGTGTCCGGACCCATGTGGTGATTTGAGGTGATTTGCGGCGATCGAACGCCCCTGCCACATGAGGACTTCACACGCCTTGGATCCGGTCCTAGGCATGGCCAAGTGGCTAGTGCGATGGCCTACGAAATTTTTTTTGACCTTTTGCCACAAGTTCGATTCTTATTTACCGTTAACTCTTTGCTTTTTTGCTAACTAAGATTTTATGCACCGTTAAGGGGTTCAAGAACCAAAAAGCAAACGGTTAGCCAGCGCGAAGATTCGAACCCGAGGCAAAAAATGTTAAAAAGTTGGTAGGCAAGCGCACTACCAATACGCCAATGTAAGCTCCGGTGGAGGCATTGGCGGAGGGTTACGAATGGCGCCCTGCCCCGCCCCGAAAACGACTGGAACCAAGGAAATGGACCCGAAAACTCGAAAAAAGCGCGAAGTTTAAATTAACTTTTCTAAAACACCTTTGTCGATCAGCACTTTTTGAAAACGGGATGTTGCTCAGAATTTTTTTCTGTATCGAACTAGCTAGGTGCCGTCCCGAAACTCCAAAAGCACCTAAAAGCGACTCCTTGTAAGCAGAAGCCCAGGCCTAAGCAGAAGGCTAAGTAGAAGTCTAAGCCTAACAAGCCAAGTCCAAGACTAAACCCAAATCTAAGCCTAACCACTGACTAAAGCCTAAGCCCAACCCTAACATCTACCCGAGCCAAGCCTAAGCTTAAGCCTAATTCAGGCCAAGCCTAAGCTTAAGCTTAATCCAGGCCAAGTCTAAGCTGAAGCCTTAGCCTAAGCCTAAGCCGGAAACCCACGCCGAAATTTGGAGACCAAGCCTAATAAGTCTATTCCTAAGCGAACCAATTCCCCCGTTGACGGCCCTCGTTTGGCGCGTGGATCTGTTTTGAGGAGATGGAAATTGGAGCCGTTTTGAGGGTCTTCCCCCCTTCCCCTGCCCATCCACGGCCAAATCGCATTCGTTCGGGCTTAGGGCCCTACTGGCCGTTTAAAGGCCCCCTCCCCCCCCCTTGGCTAGGCTGTGCTCCCATTCCGCCACACTCCTTTTGGCACTTGACAACTTCCATATGCACTCACACACCCAGCCCCCAAGGCTGAGATTCCACACTTGCTCCGACCGGGGGTTTTTGGGCTCAAAGGATCTCTGCTGGCTTCCCACCGGCTGATTTTGCCTGATTTTGTTGTTTTTCAGTTCCTTACGGGTTCCTGCTCGTTTGCTCAAGCTCCGGGAATTCTTAGCGGATTTTTACCCTTTTTTCAGGCTGACCTTTGCTCCTTTTGGGCAAAAATAACAAAGAATCTCTGCTAGATTGCCGTGTCGCTGATTTTCGTTGTTTTTCAATTCCTCAGGAACGCCTGCTCCTCTGCTCAAGCTCCAAGGATTTTTGGGTGATTTTAAACCTTTTTTCAGACTCGTAACTGAGCTCTGGTGTACTTTTTCTCCTACTAGATCCCTCTCTCGCTTTCACTCGCTCTCTCGCTATCTCTAGCTCTCTCTCTTTCACATATATCTCGCCTATAATCTTTCTTTTAAGATGTGACTGACCCCTTTCTGAAAATGAAGCACTGCCCATCAGCTTACGCCACTTTATTCATTCTCTCCAGCTTTCTCTTGCCACCCCCGACAAATGGCCTCAAAATTGGTGAGGACTGCGAATTTTGATTTTTAATTTTTGACTATTCGGAAAACCAAAAAACTCGTTGGCGTGACTCCCTCGCCGAGGTCTGGGGCAAAAATGAAAAATTGATGAGCGACATCCGCCACTCGCAATGCCTTGGGGCTTCGGAATTTTTGGGGGAGCACAAGACGACATGTCCCAATTGGGCCTGTCGGAACTGGAGACAGAAAAGTAGTGCGCTACCTCGTTAATATGGATAATGGATATGGATGTATCGATTTAAACACTTTCTAGATTTTTGCGAAGAGTATCAGCGGTTTATCTGCTTATTCGTGTAACTAGTTAAATTCGATTCGGCTAGCTGGACTGGCGTTCCGGAAAAATATTCAGCAAAATCGCCACCCATGATCGCTCGCCCTCTCCCCGTTTTGGGCCCCTTCGCACGGCGGGCCCTAAGAAAATAGCCGTTTCTCAAAAAATAATTGCGCTTTTCCCCCTTGGCGGCCTCCTCTCCGCACCTCGACACTAAAATCGGAGCTGAAGGATGGGAATTTCGATGGGAAAGCGAAGAAACCCGTAAGATTCCAGCGATTGGAAGAATAGGCGTTTGAAAATGGGATTGTTGGTCCCCTTAAAATGATAATATCCGATCAGACTTCATAATATCCAATATGTTAGGTGCCATACTTCGCGAGCGCGAAGATGCTCACATCGCCGCGGCCATGCAATATGCAGTGGAATGGCTCAATCAGAGAGCCATTTACGGACAGGTAGACTAACTGACTTGGTTGGCTTATAAAGCTTGATTGGCTTCACAGGCTTCACAGGCATAACTGAAAAATTCCAATTTTTTTTTCAGCTCGACATGGTCATCGAGTACATCGAGGTGCTTGACCACTACGATGCGGTTCTTAAAGGTATCTAAATTCGCTTTCTCTCTCTCTAGCTCTCTCTGCCTCGTTCTCTCGCTCTCTCTCGACGATGGACAGGCTAGCAGTGTGATTTTTGTGTAAAAAGCCCGATTTTTCAGCCTGTTCGCTATTCGAACGTGACCAAGTCGTGGCCCTCATCGGTTCCTCACACGCCATGCTTAACGCACAGCTCGAGAGGCTAGCTGCGCAGGTCAGCTTGCTATCTCTCTCACGCTCTCGCTCGCTCTCGCTCCGTCTCTCTTTCTCTCTCTCCCTCTCTCTCTCTTTTTCTCTCTGTCTATCGCTCACTCTCACTCTATATCGCTCTGCTTCAGATGGACATTCCTATCCTGACGGCCATCGACGACTTGGGTGTAAACGCGGCTTCGAATGTACGGATTGACTTCTTCCCGAAGGCACAGTTATTTGAGGTGGGTCTTGCTGTCTCTCTTGCTCACTCTCTCGCTCACTCTCTTACTTTCCAGGCAATAGTCGACCTCTTCCGACACTGGCGCTGGAACCGGATCACGATCGTTTACGAGGAGGACGAGAGTATGAGATTTTTCATCAAAATAAAGCTAGAAAACTCTAGGAATCCGCCGAATCGAACCGTTACTAGAGGATGACGCGTACTCATCCATAAGATTTCGCCTTGTCAAAGTGCAAAATAAAGATTATATGAAGGCAGCGAGAGATGTGAGTGGATGGATGCGATTTTAAAGGCGCATGGACAGCAGAAAAAACGTTAAAAACGTAGATTTTGCCCTAATTTGACGTATTTGAAGCTATTCCCATTTTTCCAGGCGTTTTAAAGGGATAGTGTCACCTAGAAAAAACCCCATTTTCAGGTCAAAGAGCTCGAGGAGTGCAGCTTCTACCAGCGGAAGGACTGTTCGGAGTTTAGCCGCGTACTACTCGACCTTGACCCCGAACATGCGTACAATTTCCTGTTGGCTGTGGGTTCACCGGGAATTACGGTAGAATGGGCACGATTTAGGGGCTGCAAATGGGGCTGATCGACCTGAAGCACTGGTTCTTGTTGACATCAATGGTAAGGCGAGAGAGAGAGAGAGAGAGAGAGAGAGAGAGAGAGAGAGTGATAAAGAGAGGGAGGGAGAGAGAGAGCGCGCGTGAGAGAGGCAGACTAGCAGCGGCTTTTCAGGAGCTTGCCACGATGGACATGGACTATTTCCGGAACAACCATGCCCGCTATATCTCGCCCCATCCGGTCGATCCGGTTTTTCTGAAGGAGAAGGAGCACGTCTTCAACATGACGCATTTCCGAAATCACATCAGGGACCATTGGAATGCGAAGACCGGGTTTAGCAGGAATTTGAGAATGGTAGGTGAGAGAGAGTGAGAGAGATAGAGAGCGTGAGAGAGATAGAGAGGGAGAGAGAGATCCGCCACGATTTCCAGACGGAAGCCACCTTCACCTTCGATGCCATCTACGCCTTCGCCAACGCGACGATGCTGGTCGGCCATTCGCAGCAGCTCGACGACCTGTAGGAGTATTTTAAGGGAGCTAAGAACCTTGATATAGGCCTATGACAGCCTGCCGAAAGCCGGGACGAGAGGCCAGGAAGTATCAGCACGGCCGGACGATCATCGACGCCATTTTGAACAATGTAAAGTCGCAGAAACGATTTTTTCATAGCTTGTTTTTGTAGTTTGTAGCGGCTAGTTTATACTTTGTAGCATGTACAGCTATGGCGATTCCAGAGTCTTCGAGGAATCTCTGGGGACCTTCGCCGTGTGGGGCATCCGATGAAGAGCGACTTTTCAATGCGAATCTTGCTGCTAGGATACAGCGGACGGCTGGATGATGTGAGGAAACTACAGACTACAGGCTACAGATTACGAACCCGGGATACAAGCTACAAAGCACAAATTATCGACTACAAACTCCAGACTTCATCGGCGATTAGCACTGATATTTGTTAATTCAGATCGGCTTCTGGGAGCCGAAAACCGATGTTCACGTCAATATGAGCGGCGACTCTCGTGCTCAGCTCCAGAAAAACGTGCAGGTCTCCGACGAGCTGAAGCCCCATTTCCGGGTGACGACTATTGAGGTAAGCTGGTTCTTTAGGAGTTCAAGAATTTTTAGGAGCGTCCCTACGTGATGCTGAAGAAGAACCACTTCGAGTTGGATGCTAATCAGAAATTCGAAGGATTTTGTATCGACTTGTTGACGGAATTGTCGAGGGACTTGGGTAAGAGAGAGAGAGAGAGAGAGAGAGAGAGAGAGAGAGAGAGAGAGAGAGAGAGAGAGAGAGAGAGAGAGAGAGAGAGAGAGAGAGAGGGAAAGAGAGACAGAGCGAGATAGAAAAATTTAGGTTTCACCTACGCCGTCCACAAAGTCAAAGACGGACGGTACGGCAACGACGTCTACGGTAATGGCACTTGGGACGGGATGATTGGCGAGATTTTGAGAGGGGTGCTGTTTTTTTGCATTTTGTTGAAGATATGGCAATCGATTACGTCATCAAATATAGCAATTCGAGCACTTACTGTACCCGACTACGGTAATGCCCGATTTTTAGGAAGCCGAAATGGCAGTCGCGCCCTTGACGGTCAATTTCAAGCGGGCCGAGCAGGTCGACTTCACCAAGCCATTTTTATCGTTGGGGATTTCGATATTGTTTAAGGTAGGCGTGGGCTTGGGCTGGGCTTAAGTTAAGCTTAGGCTTGTGCTTAGGCTTCCGCTTAGGCGTAGGCTGAGTCTCAGGCTTAACTTCTGCTTTCAGGTCCCCGACGACCAGCAGCCGGATCTTTTCTCTTTCCTCAACCCGTTGTCCTGGGAGATTTGGCTGGCCATTCTTACTGCCATAGGTGGGGGCTAATTTGCATATTTCGTAGCTTATTAAAGGCGTTTAATTACGCTATATTAATTCTATATTTTATTATTTAGCCGGGGTTACGGTGGGGATGTTTATGGTGGCCCGGATCACGCCGTACGAATGGAATTTGAATTTCTCGTGCTGTACAGGTAGGAACGCCGGTTTTCTCTCTTTCCCTCTCTCTCTCTCTCTCTCTCTCTCTCTGTCTCTTTCTCTCTGTCTCTCTAACTCACCTTTTTAGCCCATCAGCCTCATCCGGGCGCCACTTTCAACGCCGATTCGGAGCCGTTGCAATTGAGCAACAACTATTCATTCTGGAATACGTTATGGTACGATTTTGGGAACTCCTGTCATTTTTCCTAAACATTATTCCTAAAAATCATTTTTCTTTGAATTGGGTGCTGTAGAAAAGTTAAAAATGACATTTAGGTACGTTACCAGCACGATGTTAAAAGGCGGATGTGATTTTGGGCCTCGTGCTGTTTCTACAAGGCTTTTGGGAGGCGAGTGACTTTTTTGGAGGCTGAAATCTGCTAAGAATCTATGCTAGCTTGCCTTGCCCTGGCTCTAGAATTTCCTTAAGAATCCCTGCTGGCTTGCTTTTTCCTGAAGCAGAATTGGTTAGATCCTAACTAGCTTTCCTCCTTCTAGCTTTCCTAAAGAGTCCCTGCTAGCTTGCCTTCTCCTCGAGCTGGAATTTCCTAAAGAATCCCTGCTAGCTTGCTTTTTCTGCAGCTGGAATTTCCATAAGGATCCCTGCTAGCTTGCCGTCTACCAGCATACCATCTAGCTTACCTTGCCCTGCATCTAGAATTTCCTAAATAGTCATCGCTAGCCTGCCCTATTTCTCTCTTATTTTGGTTTTATCTTCCCTAGTAATCTCTGCTTCCAAACCCCCTTTTTTAAAGGGACAGTGACAAGACTGACAACAACATTTTCAGGCACCTGGTGGGTGTTCACCCTGGTCATCATCTCCGCCTACACCGCCAACCTGGCCGCCGTGCTCACCGTATCCAGGCCGTTTATTCCGATTAAGGTGACGGCAATATCTTGGGCTTTGATTTAGCTTATCCAACTTTAGCCTAGGCTTAGGTTTAGGCTTAGGCTTATTTCTGGCCGTAGGTTACGCAGCTAAAACGTGACCTAACTACCGTAATCCAATCCATTCTAGAACCTGGATGATCTGGCGAATCAGACGACAATTTCTTACGGGACAATCAAAGGCGGCAGTACCATGCAATTTTTCCAGGTTTGACATTTTAAAGGGACTGGGACAGCAAGTGTAAAGCCATTGAAAGGGCGTATTAGGAGGAGGTATCTTCCCCAAAGAATCTCTGCTTGCTTGCCAACCTTAAAGCAACGATATCATCCAGATTGAGCCATTTCCAGGAATCCCGCATCGGCTCCCATGTCAAAATGTGGGAATACATGAAGGACAAGGACGTCTTTGTTAAAACAAATCAACTCGGCGTGGAAAAAGCGCTACAGTAAGCAGGGTTACTGTTTATGGATGGTCAACTACCTTTTCAGAGGCAACTATGCGTTTTTGATGGAATCGACGAGTCTCGAGTACGAGGTACAACAGAACTGCAATCTGACGCAAATCGGCGGTGTGCTCGGATCGAAGGGATATGGGATTGCGCTGCAGAAAAGTGGGGATAAGTCTCAGCCGAAGCTAATCCTGAGCTAAGCCTAAGCAAAGGCCTACGCCCAAGCCCATGCCTGGGCTTAAGCTCAAGCCTAAGCGTAAGCTAAGCCCAACCTAAGCCCGAGCCTAAGCCTGGGCCCGTGCCTAAGCCTAAACTAAGCCTAATCTAAGCCAAAATCCAAGCTTAAGCTTAGCCTAAGCCTAAGCCCAGGCCTAAGCTGTTTTAGAATCCGAATGGACCGATCGAATATCCCGACAAATATTGCTGTATGCAAAGCGTGGTATTATCGAGATGAAGAAAACGAAATGGTGGAGGAGCAAGTCGGTTCTTAAATTTTTTTATGCTAGCAGAGAGCATTTGTGGAATGGAGGGCAGGCTAGCAGAAATCATTGAGGAAACGACGGCAGGATATCAGAGATCATTGAGGAAGAGAGGGCGGGCTAGCAGAGATTATTGAGGAGCAGAGAGATACCTAGCATTGTTTATTGTGCTATTCTTACAACCCAATCATTTTTCAGCGGCTTCGACAGATCGTGGGAGTTGCCCCCTTTTTTGTGTCATTCTAGGGATTAACACAACTTTTCTACATTTTTTGGGTCGTCATTCACCGCTGTTGTCTAATTTTTACAAATTAGCTCCCAAAATGTCTGCTAATTTATGAAAATTTTGCAGAGGCGCCTCTTGCCAGGGCGGGGGTGCGGTGAAGCAGCAGCGCTTCTCCTTGTCACTCCATAACGTTGCCGGGCTCTTCATTATTTTAATTGCTGGATTGTTATTTGGGTAATTTTTCTGGCAAATTTGAATTTAAAAAATTCATTGTGATCACCATTTTCAATTTTAGTCAACTTTTATCAAATTTTGCTTTTTACATTTTGGTATATTTAAGATTCAAAAATTTAAGGCTTTAGTTTTTATAAAAACCTCTTATTTTCTAAATATATAAATTTTCCTGATTTAGACTGTTCACCGTCATCATCGAATTATTGATCCGCAGCCGGCAGATTGCGGCTAAAGATAAGGTAGGCCAAACTAGAATTTTTATTTTTTTCTTTATTTAGTGAATCTTTGTGTATGTTTAGATGCAAATTAGACACGCACCTTAAAATATGTTTAAGAAAATTAGCATATATTTTTTCAGAGGCCCCTAACGACGGAAATCCGGGACGAACTGAAATTTGCGTTAAATATGAACAAGGTAAACTAATAAAGTTAAGCTAATTTAATGAGGGGTTTAATACATATTTTAGGCAAATAAATATAGATTTAAAATAGCGAATTATAAAACAAATTGCATATATAGTTTTAGCCCGAAGAGCACCGGTCGCGCCAGAAGACGACAAAGCACATGGACGAGCCGAATGGGCAGTTGAACGGGAAATAATTTGCATTTTTGGATTTACATCTTGCGTTTATTTTTTACGTGTTTTAAATTGCTAAAATAAATGTCTAACGGATGTGCTGAAATGAAACGGAAGCAGAGTCAACTGAGCAAAACGCAAAAATCTATGTTAGCCGGCCCCGGGGTTTTTCGAGAGAGAGAGAGAGAGAGAGAGAGAGAGAGAGCGAAACAAAAATAATAACTTTCTACGCTAAAAGTTATTTAATTATCGGAAGCACATCAATCGATTAGTCCCGTCGGTATCTAAAAAACACCGCGCTGGCACCAGCATTGGCCCCAAATACATCTATTTTTCGCCCTTTCCAGCATAAAATTGTCAATTGTCAAAATTCGATCGCATAAAATGACATTATCTTTATTTCTGAAATCTCGATTATAAAAAACAACAAGAAGACGGAAAGTTATAACAAAAAACGAGTGGGCGGAAGAGGTTTGGTATGTAACGAACTATATAACGGGGTAGCGGAAGAAGAAGTACAAGGAAGAGCTAGCAGGGGACTAGAAAATGAGAGATGGAGACAGAGAGAAATAGAGGGGGAAAAGACCGAATCACAATCAACAAAGATGAACACTAAAGAGTGGACATTGTTATTGTATTGGTCAGTAGAAATAGGAAGAGGAGGGGAGGCATACGGGTCTTCTTCACGCCCTTTCCGCTTCATTTCTTCTGATTTTTGATGAGCTGCGCGACGTATTTGAATCGTTTGATGCAGTCCTTCTTCGTGCGGCCCGGCACCTCGGTGGCTACCTGAAAAAACGGATTAAAAACGCTACATTTTTTTTTTTTTTTTTTTTTTTTTCCTTTTCTTCTTTTTTTTTTGGGTGTTTTTTTTTTTTTTAATTTTTTTTTTTTTTTTTTTTTTTTTTTTTTTTTTTTTTTTTTTTTTTTTTATTTTTTAAAAAAAAAAAAAATTTTTTTTTTTTTTTTTTTTTTTTTTTAAAATAAATTAAAAGATTGGAAGTGATTAAAAATTTAATTTAAACTAAAATAGTTAAAATTGAATAATCCCCAAAAAACCTGCTGAAATTAAAAAATTAAAAATGAAATTAGAACTTAAAATAATCTCGAAGATCCGGTTGAAATTACAAAAAAAATGCTGTTTGGGAAATGAAATTTCGGCTCCAGAGCAGAGGGCAGCCTAGCAGGGATCATTAGGGAAGACAGGCCCCTCTTGGCAAACGAGCAGGGATGACTAGGGAAGTCTTCAAGCCTGAATAAAAAGCCTGGGAAAGCTAAAAACCCACTAGGCAGGCGAGCAGGTATTATTTGGGCATCCGGGTGGAAGAGCAAATTGAGAGGGCAAGCTAATTATATAGCTAATTATAAAAACGGGCCAAAATTTTCGAATTTCCTGCTAAAAATATTTTTTCCTAAAAACCAAGAAGCTAAGGGGCAAGCTAGCACAGTCAATTCAGGAAAATGCAAAACGCGACGAACCTTTTCCCATCGTTCCGGGTCGCTGGCCGGATGCTTCTTCAGCGCCGCCTCCAACGCGCTGTGCTCCTTCGCGCTCCAGTTTTCCTAAAAAAAACGAAAAATCACTTGAAAATCAAGAATTCGGCGCACCTCATCGGGCAACGGGGCGCCGAGTTTGTTCTGCGAGGCGGCCGTCGGCTTCGCCTGTCCCGTTTGCACCAGTTTTGTCTGAAAAAAATGTAATAGAAATTTAATAAATCTACAAAAGATAAGAAAAATGAATTCTTAATTTAATTTCAAAGGGTAAAGTTGATCTTTAAAGGCTAAAAATTAGCATACCTGTTTGATGACCTGTTTCTCGGTCTTTTTGGGCGTTGTCTGCCCCTTTCGGTGTTCATTCACGTAGTCGGCGATCACGATCCAACGGTCGATCGTGCCGGCCGGGTACAGGTTGGCCGCCTGCAAAAATAAGAATAAAAATTATCTATGGCTATTTGCAAAAAAAACGCTTTTTTTTTCATTCGAAGACAAGCAAGACGCGTCGAAATTCGATAGTCATTTTCAAAGTTAAAAAAGTAATTAGAAATTTACCTTCGTAAGAAGAAGGATCTCCTCATCGGTCCACAGCACAATCTCCGCCTCCTTCGTCGTCGTGTTCTCCTTATTGGCCTTGCTGGCCGTCTCGGCGGCGGTACGCGCACGATTCTTTTCGTCCTGAAAAAAAGTAGATTTACAAAATATAACATACGCAACAAAAAATAGTAGATAGTCTACGCTCGAAATTACAATCGACACCCCCAAACACACCTCAACGTCTTGGAGCAGCCGATTGACGGCCGGGGCGTCGAGCTTGATCTTGTCAATCTGATCGCACAGCTCCCCGATCTCGTCCGTGTTCAGCAAAAAGGTCAACTAAATCAGAAATAGAATAAAAGGCTCTAAAATACCCGATCAAAGCGTTCCATGGCGGCGAGCTTCTCCTTCGAGTCTGTCGTCCAATAGTTGCCCGCTTCGCACAGCCCCTCCAAACTAAAGAAAATAATTTTGAAAAATCCAGAAAGATGTACCGCTTCTTCTGGGCCTTGTTCGCCTGCTTGGCCGCGTCCTTTTGCCGCTTCTCCTCCAGTTTTGCGGCGTTTTCCTGAAAAAATGAGTTATTTTTTGAAAAAATGACAGAAATTGGAAACTACATAGCCTTTTCAAAATATAATGTAAAAAGTTGATTTATTAAATAGAAATCAATGTCGAGTCTAAAAATACTACCTTGGCCTCCTCTTCTCGTTTCTTGGCGGCGACGGCTTCCTCGGCCTTCCGCTTCTCCAGCTCTTCGGCCTCTTGCTTCTCGCGGCGCAGACGGGCCCGTTCCTCCTGAAAATGAGACGTTAATAGCTTCAAAAAGTCCCTGAATTTATAATGGAACTGACTTTAGCCTCAGATCTCGGTCATTTGAGGTCAATGCTGACCTCAAAAAGGCAAAAATTGAAAAAATTTCGCCACAAAAGCCTCAATTTACAAACAATAACAATAAAATCAATGTAGCATTTTTTAGCGAAAAAAATGGCAGTTTTCGAATGGCCTAAAAATTTCTCATAAATGATACCCCTACGTCGAGATAGAAAGGATTTAGTGATTTTTTTACCTTAGCCTTCTCCTTGGCCTCGGCCTCCTCCTTCTTGAACTTGCAAATCCTCGGGTCTTTGTTGTGGGCCATGTGGACGAGGTTGCTGATCCTTTTGATCTCTTCTTTGCGGCGTCGTTCCCTTTCCACCTTGTTCGCCTTCTCCATTTCCCTTCTCTCCCATCGATCCTCGCCCTTCTCCTTGTCCTGCTCGTCGTCGTAACTAAAACATGGAATTAAGCCTAAATTTAAAACTTTAAATTATATTTAGATTGAATTAGATAAAAAGATTATACTTAATTAATAGTAGTACCTAATAGGCAGCGGTAAGGGTAATAATGGTAGTAATTTAATATGAACTAATGTAAATAGATCAAAAAAATCGTAGTGTGAAGTAGCGGTAATAGTAATAATAGTAGTAATTTACTGCTAATTAATTAAATTTAAAATTATAATTAAATATATTTAGCACCTATACTCCCTCCAGGTATTCCAGTTGAACCAAAACGAGTAGAAGTCCTCCACATCCTCGCGGCTGCTCGATTCATCACCGAGGAGGGGCACCGGCTGCGGGATGGAGAATCTAAAAAACTCTCAAAAACCACCCAAAAAATTTTACCGTCCATTTTCGGCAAAAACGGGCCCGAGCAGCTCGTAGAAATTCTTGGCGTTCACCTCCTTCTCGTTCGGCAAGTCGTCGCTGTATTTCGGGTCCACCGAGTCGTAGGCGCGCCGCTTCGCCTCGCTCATGCCTACAAAACACAGAAAATAACATTTGACAACGGAAACGATACCGAGCTGCTCGTTGGCCTTGGTGATGCACGTGAAGAAGTCTTCGCCGGCGGGCAGCGGGATCCCGGCGTGCTTCTTCTTGTCCGGGTGGTGCTTCAGCACTTTTTGACGGTCTGAAAAAGGGATTTACGTAATACGTTTGAGCAAAAGGCTTTTTTCTAAATTTCTACCCATAACAACAAAATAAAATTTTTCATAAAAGCGCAAAACCAATTTTTGTTTAATATAATAAAGCGCCAAAACCCAAAAATTTTCAAAAAAACCGCGGAAAGCTTGAATTTTTGAATAAGAAACAGTTTTCAGGGCTCCATCCGCATAAATGCAAATAAATCAGTCCCCAAAAAGCATGAAAAACATTGTTAAGCTTCAAAACTCCAAAAGCGTACAGGCAATGCGAATCTCCTCGGCGGTGGCCTCCCAGCGGAGCTTCTTCAGCCCCAACACTTTGTAGTGGTCCTGATTCTTCGTGTCATTCGGGTCGAGCTTCATCAGGTACTTTTCGTATTTGTGGTCGTCGGCGTCGAAGAGCTCGACGCGCGGCTCCAGCTGCTGTTTCACCACCACCTAAACAAAAGTTAGAGATTTCCAGAGCAATTGCTGACCTTCTTCTTGCCCTTTCCGGTCGGTGCAGCGACGGCAACCACCGGCGCATCGGGATTTCTGAAAAAAAAGCGATTTAGAAAGTTTTTAGACACCAAAAAGTCTGATATCTAGCTCAAAAATTTCGCAAATAATCGCTGTTGGTGTACACATGCGGTTTATTAGCCAAATTTGACAAAACTAGAGCAAGAATGCGCTCAAAATTCCTTCAAAAGCCAGCCAAAACAAAAAAAAAAACATTTTCACGATTCCCAGACGCCCAAAACATACACCAGAAAACTCAATTTTGCAAAATGATCGCTGCTAGTTTCCCCAAGCGGCCGGTGACCAAAAACAGATCAAAACATAGCGAAAGGGCGCTAGAAAGTTGCCAAAGTCTCTGATAAACGCGATAAAAGCTCTTTTTTATGCAAAAGAAAGTATTGAAAAGGCTTTTGCTATACCTGTAGACGGGGAGCGTACACTGGCCAAGCGCCAGACGATCCCGGATCGTCTTCACTTCCCAGTGGATGCCCGCAGCTTCATATTTGCGTTCGACTTGGCGAAAACCGT